AGCTATGGCTTTAGCTAATTTAGCTTAGAACAAAGCCTTCTTAAGAGCTGCAAACGTACCCTCAATGCAGTGGCAAAGCTGTTCTTCAGGTTGGTAGCTATGCTCATCAGCAATGGTTCCCGGCAGGTGATCATAGCCATGCCAGCGGTCAAATTTCGCATCATGTGGTGTGCTGCGATGCGCATGCGTGACTCCTCTGAGTCTAACGCAAAATCCTTCCTTACAATCTGCTCACAGGTAGTCATGGCTATTTTAATGGACCGGTCCACCACTGGATGCACAAGTTCTTGAACTGCACGCTCGATGGCCTGGCGCACGCACTGCTTTAACTGTGGGTGTGCTTGAAACAAGGGGATCTGGGACAACAGAACAACAACGTATATCAATCACTGACACAAACATGAATATTTATTTATTTAGATTTATATCCCACTGTACCATGCAAATGGGCTCAGAGCGGCTTACAGCATGTCCAACAATTCCATAAAACACAAAATCAATAAAAACATTAATTCCAACTAGTTAAAATTTAAATGCCTAATTTAAATACCTAACTGGCAGCTTGGCGGTTAGTTACATTTCAGTGCACACTGACTTCATGCCAGGGAAAGGTGGTGGATCATTCTGATAGAAAGAAAAGCTCTTTGGGACATGTACGGGAAGAGACGGTCCCGCAGGTATGCTGGTCCCTGGCTGTGTGAGGTCTTAAAGGTTAATACCCTAACCTGACTCAGTAATTAACTGGCAACCAGTGCAACTGGTGCCAACACTGGCTGAAGGTGAGCTCGCACAGACGTCCCAGTCAGCAAGCATGCCACTGCATTTTATACCTCGTGAAGCTTCCGAATCAGGTTCAGCGAGTTGCAGTAATCAAGCCTTGGAAGTGACCATTGCATGGATTGATGTCACCAAGTCACAGGAGGAAAGGTAGGGAACCAGTTGACTGACCAGCTGAAGATGGTAGAAGGCTGATCTGGCAACATTAGTGACCTGGGCCTCCATAGAAAGGGAGGCATCCAGAATCACTCCCAAGCTCCTCACCATCGGCGCCTGTGTCAATGGCACCCAGCCAAGGGCTGGGAGTCAGAGTCCCAAAGCCATCCCCCATGGCTCAGGAACAGGGCTTCTGTCTTCGCTGGAATAAGTTTCAACCAACTCTAGCAGTCAGCCACAGCCTCTAAAGCCGTAGCCAAAATTCCCGGGGCAGAGTCCAGCCAGCCATCTGTTAACAGTTAAAGTTAGGTGTCATCTGCATACTGGTGACAACCCAACCCAAACCCCCGGATTAACTGGGTGAGGGGGCATTGGGGAGAGGATCACCTCTTGTGGAACACCACATACCCTAGGGTAACACGGCAAAATCCTCTCCCCAAGCACCACCCTCTGTCCCCAACCATACAGAAAGGAAGACAGCGACTGCAAGGCAATTCCCTGAATCCCCATGTCAGCGATGCAGTGGGTCAGAAGGTCATGATCAATTGTGCTGAACATTGCTATTCGATCAAGTAGCAGCAGCAACGCCAACCCACATTGATCCAAATGCCCCTGGAGGTCAACTGTGGGGCAATCAGCACAGTCTCCATCCCATGGCTCGGGTGAAAGCCAGACTGGAATGGGTCCTGGATAGAGGAATCATCCAAGAACACTTGATGTCGCTCAGCTACAACTCTCTTAAACACCTTACCCAGGAATGGGAGGTTTGATACTGGGTGGTAGTTGACTAGGAAAACAGGGTCCAACAATGGTTTTTCAAGAGCGTTCACACCATCACCTCCTTCAGGCACGCTGGGAACATCCCTGACACTAGGAACAAGTTGATAATATCTCCCAGGGAAGCCTGAATTCTGTCTCCACTGGCTTTAACAAGCCAAGATGGACACAGATCAAGGAGGCAAGTGGTGGGCTTCACAGCTGCCAGGGTCCTGTCAACCTCTTCCTGGGCCATCACAAATCCATGGGGCATTGTCCTGCAGGCAAATCCCTCTTAGCTTGAGAAGCCTTTCTGCAGTGACTGAAGTCCAATACTTACAGTTGGATTAAGAGTAATATGTGGAGCCAGCCCTCCCAGAGAGTAGACGTTGATATCGTGGTAGCTGTACTGGGGCTGTGGAGGAACAGTAGCTGTGCACGTGGTGCTGGTAGCGGGTGTTGTGGAAGCAGCTGAGTTAGGCAGAAACAGAAGGAAGGTTTCAGAATCTCTTCCGTAACTTTAATTCAGTTCCTCAGAGTAAGTCTTATGGGAGGCAGATGGCTTTACAAGCCTGACCAGGCGTTTGCTCAGTTTTGTACTGGAGCTGACAGATACTTAGAACCTATTTGCTCCCTTCCAGCCCAGACAGAGCCACATCCTTCTAGGGATCAGACTATTAACAAGGGAGGAACTAGCCACCTACTCCACCGGCATCAGCACTGGCAAAGAAAGCTAACTCAACAAATGCAACATTCATTATCGTTAGCAAAAAACTTCCATGTTGAGGAAGAAGAGATTGGATTTATATCCTGCCCTTCACTACCCAAAGGAGTCTCAGAGCGGCTTACAAACTCCTTTCCCCTCCCCTCCCCCCAACAGACACCCTGTGAGGTAGGTGGGGCTGAGAGAGCTCTGACAGAAACTGCTCTTTTTCAAGAACAGCTGTGTCAGAACTATGGCTTGCCCAAGTGGAGGAGTGGGGAATCAAACCCGGTTCTCCCAGATTAGAGTCAGCACACTTAACCACTACACCAAACTGGCTTGTCTTTCAGAAAGGGAGTATCACTGTGAAAAATGAACCAAGAACATCATCAACCATCTTGGGAAGGGTGGGCAATATGACTTACGACTTGACACTTACTGGTGGTCGTAATGGGTGGCAACTCTTCTGGTTGTTTCACATCCTTCTTTGGAGCAGACAGCTGTTCATCCAGATTTTTCAGTCGATCCTTGTCTTTCAGGAGGTTCCCAGGCTTCAGCTCATTGATGTCAAGGGCAAGGTTCTTGCAGAGTACTTCGATCTCAAACTTCAGGTTCAGCTGTGCAGTAATTAATCATTTCAAGGTTTAATAAGGTCAACAAATCAGATGACACTGCCTATGAAGACTCACTTTTACATCTGCCGGCTGCTTCGAAATTTAAGATATGCATTGAACCACTAAGTGCTTTAAGCCGAATATTCTGGACTGAAGCAGCAACATAATTTAGAACAGTGGTGTGTGGGGTGCTGCGGCACCTACCAGTGAAGCATTTCCCATCACCTGCATTCTTTCTTGAATCTAGGGGATAAAATCTAAAGATAGAACAAAGTACTTTCGGTGGCTTCTGAACAGCTGACTGACTAGCAAACCAGTGTGCTCATCCTGGGAAAGTGAGTCACAGCCCTACCCCCATGACAGCCATTTTGTGGCAGTACCCTTCACAAAATTTCAAAAATGCTTGCAGGTTCAGCATGGTTGGAGATCCTCAATTTAGAACCTGTCTTTAAAAAAAATTACCATCTAGTCTAAAGAAAGTCAAGTTGCAGTTTCCTTGAATGGGCTACAGTCATCACGTAACAAAGTTTTCCCAATCTCCCCCACCCCTGGAATCAAGCGATGCTGAAGAGAAAAGTTTGGCATAGTTTACTTTTAAATCATGCTCCTGGTGCAACTCTGCAAGTACATTCATGATCGCCATGGTCCACGGGTTGGGAGGCCTGAAAACCTACAAAGTAAATGGAGAGTAGAAAGGCAAAATGAAGAAAACCGGCCAAGGACCTATACCAACACATGTTGAATTTTAAAAACACACCTATGGAAGAGCAAGCCTGTATCCTTTAGGACAGTACTTGCACAATATATGGAATATATGCCTTAAACCCAGGGTTCTGCAAATAGAAGAGCTGTGCATAGCGATGCCCTCGGTTGCTGCACTGCCATTCTCCATCCATCTCAAGTACCCTTCCTTGCTGAACTTGAAGGTCAAAGAGGAGCAATGTCCCTTTCCCAAACAACTTCCACAGCTGCGGCATGGAACTGACACCAGGTTCTTGGCACAAAGCCCTGGCTCAACATCTTTTGTTAGGTTTCACCAAGCCTCACCCCACCAATCAAGGTCTCCATGTCTAGCTGTTGCTTGTTGTTAGAAATACTATCTTGAAGCAGCTCCGCAGTTCCGTGCAAGAGATGGATCATACCCATACCAGGAATGAATGTAAAACACAGCAAGTTTCCAACTATTACAGCAGTGGTTAAGTTTAAGGCATTTTTTCTTTACATTCTGTACTGAGGTGACACACTCTGCCCCTAGTTATAAGTCAATGCTACAAATAATCAAGTTAAATGTGCTGCGTGCTATTCTCTTGCTGCCTTTCCTTTTTAATGGATTAATGGATCTTTCCTTCATTAGCTTCAAGACTACAGCATTTTTCCATTGTTTCATCTTAGTTAGAGGAGGCAGAGCCACAGAAAACTTAAACTTGAGATAACTTTGAAAATTAATGCTTCTGACTATTTCCCTTGCTTTTTGTCATGCTTCTGACAAAACACTGGGTGATCAGACTTACCACGCTTCTTACACTCGATTCCAAGACTTTGGCAACAAATGGCACAACATACAGCAGCTCCTGCTGCCCCTTAACATAAGCCTCCAGCAGCAACGATTTCACATCCAAGTCCTAAAAATCAAAGCAGTGCAAATTAGACCTGGTAATGCAAAGCAGCACAGCAAAGGAGACCACTCCCCCTCCACAAAGACTGTTTTCTTTTACTAGGTTGCTGATGTTCTGCCAGGATTTTTGTTGAACATTACAAAAAGGCAGCCATGAAAAAGAGCATGTAATAGGGGTATGCACTTAGTATATACCAAGCCAAATAAATACCCCCCAAATACCTTATTGGTATTTTGGGGATATTTATTCAGCCAAATCAGATTTTCTAATCTGATTTGGCTATCAATCCAGGTGAGCCCGAATAAAAGCCAATATTATTCTGCTTTTATTTGGGCTCTGTCAGCTATGCTGCCATGGGGGTTGGGATGTTCTGTCAGTGTCTGTGTAAACTGCTTTCGCATTCCTCTCTCTGCTTTGCGCTGAAATGCTTATCTCTATAGAAGTACAGGTGGTGATGTGTGTTGTCTGCCTTCCAGGCCAGCCGTGGAAGCTGACCAATTCCCAGCTTCGCATAGTAAGGGAAAGGTGCGAGATGTACTGGGGTGGGGGGTACCCCGAACCCGACGACAGCTCCAATCCTTCTTAGGGTTCGCGAACTTTTACAGAAACTTTTTAGCCAATTTCACCCAGATCAGTTTACTCCTGACGGATCTATTAAAAACTAAGGGGAAGGGCCCGGAGACTACAAAGCCGGGAGCTGCGTTGCCTTGGAATAAAGATTGCCAGGAGGCTTTCGAACACCTCAAAGCCTTGTTCACTTTGGAACCTGTACTTGCTCACCCTGATGAGACTAAAAAGTTCATTGTACAAACAGATGCGTCGAATGTGGCCATTGGGGGGGGGGCCCTCCAGGAGGGAGGGGATGGGTTGCTTCACCCCTTGGCATACATGTCAAGGAAATTCAATGACACTGAACGGAACTGGTCTGTTTGGGAGAAGGAGGCGGGGGCAATAAAACTCACACTGTCCACTCGGCGGCATTGATTGGAGGGAGTGCAAGTCCCGTTCAAAGTGTGGACTGACCATAAGAACTTGGAAACGCTAAAAACGCCTCGATGTCTCAATGCCAAACAGCTACGGTGGGCAGATTTCTTTTCCAAATTCCAGTTCACCCTTCACCACTTCCCAGGCTCAGTGAATTCGTTGGCTGACGCCCTGTCCCATCTACCCCAACACGATAGCCAACGGGAGGTGGTCTTGGACTCGGTGTTCACGCCTTCCCAGTTGGGCGGGGTGGTGACGACACACAAACAAGCACACCTCACTCCGCCCACCCCGGCGACGACGCAGCCCGCTCCTTCAAGCCGGGGGGGGGGGGGGGGAGCGCGGGGCGCCAGGTC